CCCCCCCCCTCAAGAGCAGGCGTGACTGCGCGTGTTTAAGCTCGAACGCAAGATTTGGAGAAGAGGAAGAAGAAGAAGAAGAAGCAGAGAGGAGAAGGAAGAGGGACATAAGGAGGAGGTGGTGGAAAAAGAAGAAGAAAAAGCGAAGAAGAAGCGAAGAAGATGCAGAAGAGCGAAACAAACATGAAAGAGAAGAAAAAAGAAGAAGACGAGAAGAGGGTGGAGCCGGAGGAGGGGAAGGGGAGAGGGGGGGGGCCGACGGGCCAGGGGATGCTGCGAACGTACCTGCAGTCGAACGACCAGCGATGGCTCCCCGCTTCACTGGCGGTGATGGCGACACACCGGCTGCATGTGCGGGTGGCGGGCGGGGGGCGGGCGGGGGGCCAGCAGCTTCGCGACGGGCCGTCCGGTACCTTGGCTCACATCCGCGGTGTAGTGTAGTTTCCTGATACCGCGCAGCAGTGCGGAAAGGCGGTGACAGCATGCTTCCCCCCGCGTCGGAAGACAGGGGCCGCTGCGCTACATTACATGAAATGTGGTAAATAGGAATGAATCTACCGCAGGGAATGGCTAGATGCGGTGAGGACTGCACCAAGGGCCAACAGAGGATGACGAATGAGGACGGACCCAAGTTCGACTCCACATGCAATCACGGGGAAATTTCTGCGGGACGGACCCAAGTTGGAATGCACATGCAATCAAGGGGAAATTTCTGCTTCTATCTGCTGCAGATGGCTGAACAAGACGCCCCCCAAAACAAAAATAAAAGACTTACACGCCTACCTACCCAAGGTCAATTGGTTAGGCACGCAAGTGGCATACAGAAGGACGTGGTGGGCTCAACCCCAATGGGCACCTGTGGCACGCTTGGTGCTAACCAACTGAGATAGTCAGCTGGATCCTGGCAGTCAGTATTAGGGTAGGACCCCACTGCTTGGCTGTGCTTGGGGCCAGGAAAACATCCGCCAGCCCAAAATAGTAGCGGCTGGGAATGGGCACCTGAAAAGGGACTCCACGGCCACAGCAATTTGCAATTTGGGGGACTTCCAAGGTTCCTGTTACCCGATCAGGAAGACTTTCCTTTTCGGGCAAGTTTGCCTCCACCATTTCAGCACACCAGGCAAGTTTGCCTCCACCTTTTCAGCACACCAACCAATCCCCGTGCTTCCTTTCTGCACAGGATGGGTAAATCCAGAGGGTGCGCTTGCCTGCCTCTACGCACAGGATGGGTAAATCCAGAGGGTGTGTTTGCCTGCCTCTGCCTCTAGAGGCAGGCAAGCGCACCCTCTGGATTTACCCATCCTGTGCGGAAAGGAAGCACGGGGATTGGTTGGTGTGCTAGAGGTAGGCAAAAGCACCCTCTGGATTTGCCCATCCCATGCGGAAAGGAAGCACGGGGATTGGTTGGTGTGCTGAGGTAGGCAAATGCACCCTCTGGATTTACCCATCCCGTGCGGAAAGGAAGCACTGGAATTGGTTGGTGTGCTGAAAAAGCGGAGGTAGGCAGAGTGGAAACAAAAATGCTTCCATTTGCCGCCAGCAGTGGAGTGTCAAAAAACGTCTTCCAAAGGCTTGCGCCGTCCAGTGGGGTCCTACCCTAAGCTCTTCTGCCAACACGGGTGGGAGTGCGCGTGTGAGTGGGTTGTGTGTGGTGTCTGGGAGAGTGTTGGACTTAGACCCTACTGTTTTGTTTTGTTTTGTTTTTGTTTTTTAATAAAAGCACAGGTTGTTGTAGAGGCTGGATTATAGACATATGAGAGATTCACCTTCAGCACTTGACCATGTGGTAGAGGCCCCCTAATCCTATAGGACTCCCTCCCGACCTACCACTTTCGTAATTTCTCCTGGCGCACTCCTACTCCCACTATCCTACCTTAGTGTCTACCACTTAGGATCATCACCCTCCAACCTGGGGGTGACCTCACCAAACTGTGGTTGTAGGTACCAGGGCTTAGCAGAGTCCCACATACCCCACTCAGCCCCGATCGAAGCGTAGTTGAGCGAGCCTTGTCCCTACTGTTACTCTATGGAGGCGGGGGAAGATGAAAAGGGAGGCACAGTTACTGGCAAATGCTTGCTCCTTGTGTTAGGGCCCCCCCACTGGCGGCCCCAACCCTGCACCCTAAAAGCTAGGGCAAATGGGCAAACATGCCATTACCTCCCTCCACCGAGAGAGGTAACCTCCCTTTACCAAAGAGAGGTAGAAAGCTATGCTTGCAGGGGTCCACTGTATAGCCTTAGGAGGAGTGATAGGTAGTGAAACGAAAAAGGTATGTTCCATGACACGGCAACAAGACAGTTAAAATATGTTTTTTTTGGGGGGCAACGGCTCGTGGGTCACAACCCACGTTTTGAATGGGCAAAAAAAACAGTCGTCCGCAGGTCCGTCCCGCCCGTAGTTCAAAACGGCAATAATAACACTTAATGGCAACATCCTCTTCGTCCAAGTTCAAATCGGCAAAAAAAACATTACTTTTTTTTTTTTTTTTTTCCGTCGTATGGTCGCGCCGCGGCTGGAACGGAAAACAAAAAAAAAAAACAAAAAACAAATCATGGTCGGGCCACGCCGGGGTTTGGCCGATATATCTGGGCCATGGCCAATCTAGGGTGTGGCCGAGACATCTCGGCCATGGCCAATGTGGGGTGTGGCCGAAACATCTCGGCCGTGGCCAATCTGGGGTCGGGCTGAGACATCTCTGCCGTGGCCAATCTGGGGTGTGGCCGAAACATCTCGGCCGTGGCCAATCTGGGGTGTGGCCAAGACATCTCGGCCGTG